TGCGGAGAGCCGGGAAATGTTGACCAAGTTTGTGCTTGCGGTAGGCCAGGGAAACTCGGCTGCCAACGAAGCCCAAAAGTGGAGCAACAGCCAGGACAACTGGGCTAAAAGCCGGCTACAGGACTCTTTAGGACTCGCAGTATAAGAGAGCGGGATAGATATTCGAAGAGAGCCAGCAATTGGTAAAAAAGGTATAAATTTATAACACTAACGATTTGACTTATATATGGAGGAATTTCGATTAATATTTTATTAGACCCTAAATTTGCTTTTTAAAGAAGATTGTTGTTAAAACTTTGTCCATTAAAAACTAAACAATTATTTACCTATAGTAAATTTTTACGTTTTGAAATATTTTATGTTTTCAGGAAAGTGTAAAAATGCATTTATGATTACCAAATGTTTTATGATTAACTCTACTAATGCAATCTATAAGGTAAGATGGTTTTCTAGAGCTTAGAAAGTATGTATCTCTTTTATCTACATAAAATCTATTTTACATTCTACATCTAACCAACATTTGTATTCAGGAACAATTTTATAAGTTGAAAAACCAAAGGAAACACAGAAACTGTTTAGTAAGATAATTGTTTATTTTTAAAAAATCTAAAATAAATATTAACTTGTCAATCAGGCTGTATTTGCAAATGTAGTGTGTTCTCTTTTTCTGACTATTCCCATAGCAATCCAAAAATTAAAAAAGGGAAATTCTACGGATCTGGTGCGAGTATCTGCACCATACCCAAGCAGCATCCATTTCAAATAAAATGCAGGAGTCGATGGCTGCGATGATTGGGAGGGGAAATGTGGGGTGCAGCAAATCAACAGTGCCAAATTCAATTGCAAATAGTGGAACACATTGTTCTCGTGTCTCACTGTTTCGTTGACAAGTTTTTAGTTTTTATTATTTTTCGCCTCGCTTCGATGGAAGATTGGTGGAAAGCAAGAGTGGGGTTTCGTTGGGTGGGTAGAACCTAGAGGAGCTCCGTCGACACTGTGGGAATTTATTGAAAATGCTTCGATTTATGTTTAGTGCGATATTTGCATTTTGGCTGACGAACGGAACGGCGACAAATGCAGCAGAAATATGTTTTCAGCTATAAATGTGTTAGCGGAGGGCGAGGAAAATTCGAGGATTCGACAAGTGGGGGATGTCGGGAAATAAATAGAGGGGAGGCAGGGGATGTGGCAATGGGAATACGATTGGTGGCGATGACAGCAAAGATAGAACCTTGAGCTTACTATTTCCAAAATAATATTTGGGTTAAGGATGCGCCTGAATCAGGTTGTTAAAGGGTTGTATTTAGGTTAGCCGACGAATACAGGTGAAAATGTATTTGATATGTTTGAATGTGACTCAGTCCTAGTACCTTAATAAAGAATTGTTCTTGAAAATCCCTATAAAAGGGTATTTGTATACCATTTTACAGTCCGAAAAAAGGAAACGTAGGAGCAGCCTCCATAAAAAGCAATTCGACTTTGCGGCTTTTAGGACTGATTGTAAGAGATGCCGCAAACAAATGAAGTTGTCACCAGTGGTTTCATACATATAGGCAGACCGCGAAAAGCCGCAAACGGAAAATTGAGCTGGTGAGTGAAAAAAAAACACAAAAATAGAGAAGGGACCTGCAGGCGCAGTCCAACTAACGAATAGTCTTTAATCTTCTTAAGTGAGAGTGCCCAGCTGCTCTGCCAGTGGACGACTGTCATCAGGAGCGAATGTGAGTTGGTAATAAACCAGGCCAAGGAGCCAACCAGCCAAGGAGCTTTCAGATCCTCCTTTTCTGGCATTTTTATGTCCTTCCATTTCCTTCTATCTCCCTAAAACATCCCGGCTTTGGATGGTAGAGCCAGCTTATTTCTTCCATTGTCTAAGGCGAATTTAAGGCATTTGATTGATTACCAGAAGTTTGGAAAATTAACCGGATTTCCATTTGGGAATCATTACAGTTTTGCTTTGTTTTCCTATCTTATTTTATTGGTATTGTATTCTGATAGGAAATTAGTCAGTCAATACACCTACTCATTTGCTGACTCTGACATGCTCTCTTCCTATGAAGTTTCATTTTGTGTAGAGATGCCTTATCTTATTATAATACTGGTTTCTACTTCTTTGGTTACAAAAAGGATTACATACATATATGGAAACTTATATTTAGAGAATTGCAATTATCGCAGTTTTGACTTAGATGTTCTTCAATTCGTTTCAGCAGCTTGTATTAATTTATCAGTATAATTTATCAATCATTCTGCTGACTCCTTGCACAAAAGAGGGGTTAGTTCTGATCAACGCGAGTTCTATAGTACCTTACCTATCCGACTTTCCCTTTTCCTGATTTCTGTTTCGTCTCAAATAGCACTCGTTTTTGCATGAGGAGAGGGCAGTGAATGTAATTACTTTAATGCGACCATTTGCCGCTTTAGTTGCTGCTGCTTTGGCCGAGATAAAGATAAACTTTTGCAATTACAAGAGGCGAGAGTAAACGAAGCAGAATCAAGAAATCGGTTGGGGGAATGAAGTCGCAACCCGATAGCATCGAATCGAGTTTACTCTTAGTGCGTTTCCCATTGGCATTGGCTAATTAGCTGAAACACCTCCTTCGGCTTTTCCTTTTCCTTAGCCCTAACTTAAAGAGCCAACCGGACTTAAATTATGCCCACTTAAATGAACTCAAAAGTGAGACGACTTTAAAAAGTTCTTGCCAACTTGCAAGCGTTGAAATTTCCTCTGCTAACATATGCAAAGCGAAGAAAAAATCTGGAAAAATGCTTCGACTTAGGTGGGTCCGCCTAAGAGAACTTTTGATGACTTTTTGAAAGTTTTACGCTTCACCAGAAGTAAAACGCAAATTACACGGACCAGTATTACTCATGGCCCACAATAACAAGGGCCAGAGCATCAGCATCCGGAAGGAGCTACAGTAAAAGATATAAAGTTGGGACCCTCGCTGGCCCACCTCGTCATAACTTGATGGTCGAGACTCCGGGACTTTTGACCCCCAACAAGTGAGTGCAACAAATGAGCCAAAATTGCGACTAATTGGACCACAGCTTTGAGTGGCTCTGAAAGTAATGGGTCAATACGTGGGATTAAACTGGAGTACTTAAATACCAAGTGGCCCAAAATAAACTTGAGGAAACTTAAATTTTTAGCTGAGTTAAGAAGAGTAGGTGAGTAGTTAGCAAACATTTTTTTAAAATATATAAAGTGTAATAAAAGAATTTTAATATTGCCAGTCAAGTGGATTTAGCTGTGCATTGATTTTTAGTTTTATAACATTTATTTTCATTTACTTTTCATACAGACTTTCCAAGGGTAAAAAATGTTAGTAAAATTCCCCGTTAATGAACTGAAACTCAGATATACGTTCTTTGATTCAATATTCCACCGCGGGTCTAAGCCGCAGTCTGAAAAACCAACCGGTATACAGAAGATAAACCCCCACCGCAGAGTCACATGCAAAAATTCGTGGGCATTTCGCTGTTTTTTCTAGCTGCTCCGGCTTCTGCTGCCGCTGACCAACCAAACATTTTGTTTGTGCAAAAATTTTGTGTGATTTCCCCACGGAAATTGATGATGGTGTTTGCTGAGTCGCAAACGTGTTGGCGGAGTTAAGCGGGATGAGTTTGCGGGCCAGAACAGAGCCGTCCCATCGCAGGGCCCACCTACGGTGAATTTGTCATTTCCAGTTCTAAACGTGCGGACAAACACTGAATCAGTCGTGCCCGAGGGCCACAGGATGAGGGGATTCGGGGATGTAGGGATTGGGAGTCGGGATTCGCAGAAGGCCGGCCGCCCAGCCAGGAGATGGAGATGGGACACGGAAGCCCCAGTCGGGCTGTGCCTGCTCAATGCCGATTCGGTGTGCGAGGGTCCTAGAGATGATGGCGTGCTTCGAGTTCGATGAGTTAGGACTTGTATATGATCTCAGAGACCTTTTCGATTTAAAGATAATAATATAAAGACTATAGGATAGGATAGGATAGACAATAAGAAATAAATAATGTTCTAAGGATTATTATTGTTATTCATCCTATTAATGAAATTAAAAATACTTTTAACGTTTTGAACTTTCACATTAACGAAAATCAAGACTGAATATTTAACAAATACCTTTTCTAAGATCGCTTTATTTAAGATAGAATACTAAACAAGTACATTTTAAAGATCACCTCTATCACCTCTGGTATTTTTGGAATTTTTAAAGTCACGATCCGATCGCCGCCCAATTTAATCGTGAGTCCTGCTCATATTTGGCCTTTTTGCTGGCCTGGCTGTCAGCAGCCCTGCCAAAGGACTGCAGTCAGGACTCAGCTCGAGGACGAGGACGAGAGCGAGGACAAGAGCACAGTGCGTGTCGCTTTAACAAACCGGAAGTTACATGCGATGTAATGAAAAAGGACAGGGCGGAAGTCGCAGTGGGTCTCCGGCTCCCCATTTCACCAGGGGTGGCGACTGGCGAGTGGCGAGGGGGCCCGGTTCGGAATCAGGACCACGGACTACGGCCCTATCCGAATGAGTTTGCTTTAACGCTGCTGGTATTTATAGACAATTGGTTCGTGATTGTTGACAGCGCTCAGCGTCGCGCTGAACTCTCCACGGGCCCAGCCATCGAACGTCGACCATCGACCAGCGACCATATACCATCTCGACCACTCGAATCGAATTGACTCGGCAGGACTCGATTCTGCACTGGCAATTTTTTGCATGCCCCATAAAAATAGTTCGAAATATGGTTGGCTGTGGGCAGAAGCGAGTCGGAATCAGAATCGGAATCAGATGAGTGGGTTTAAGTGAATGGGTGTGCACTGCAGGCAGGAAATAGCGGGCTGTTTCCCATTTAGGCAATTGAGTTAGGCCCCACAGCCCAGGGCTAAATCAGAGAAATCTGCCAAGGATTTTGGCTAAAAATATACATTTTACATGGAAGGCAACCTTTTAAAAATCGAGTGGGAATATAGGTATTATTACTATTTTCGCATAGTACACATAGATAGATCCAAGAAAAAAATGTCACTTAAAATCATCAATTGATTTAGATTCACAAAACATTAGGTCCCTAGCAAAATTGTTGTGTGGTAAAATTTTCGTATTGCCTTGCCCAAATTATGTCGGAAACAAATGAGAAAAGTGCGAATAGTTCGCTGGTTAACACTGTGCTAAAGGAGGTAGATTCGCTTCTGGATATTAGCAGCAGTTCCTTAGACGCCAGTTCCCCGTCAACATGTTCAGAACTAAAGCAAATTGTGACAAAGGCCTTGGAAGAAATTCAAGCAGTTCCTCACTGTGGCAACCTCAATGTAAATGAAATATTGGAAGCGGCTCTGCCTAAAATTAGAAGCGAATTGTTGGGCTGTGATACGGTCTACAAGGAAGTTCAAAATATCAAAAAATTACTAGAATCATATGTTCAGCAAGTGCAAGCAGTAGATCAGGACATAGCTGAGATATTTTTGGACTTGCACAACATATATAGGAGGCTCGAAAAAATCGATGTCAGTGGAAGGAAGTTGAGCAGCCCAAAAAAAGCTAAGTTGTTGAAGCATGTCAAAGAGTCTGAGGAGTTACTGAACCGTTCCAGGCATTATCTATCGAACGATCCTAAGGAGATGAGTGCCATGCTTGTAGGTCCGCCCAAGGAATCCCCATCGATTTCTAAGGTACGTGGTCGTATTTCGAAATCATCAAACCCAAATAACGATCGGTATCAAGAGGGACTAATCCCATTTGGACCCCCCTACGAAAGGAAGTTTCTGAAGTCTCACAAGAAAAATATCGAGAAGTTTGTCTTTCTCACCAACATGGTAACGTTCAAGAAGTCGGACTACTCCCTTAATCTCAATCGCTTCAAGACATATTTCGGAGAGGCCAAGCGGGTACTAAATCTTGATTGTAATTAAAAAGTATTCTATTGTAATAACATTTTGAATAAAAGCTGTACACCACTACCTATTTCAAAATATTTTGAAAAATTAGCTAAACACCACTACATATCTTAGGCAAACAATAATACTTATAATGATAATAAGGTGTAAGAAAAATGAGTGCGTCTTGTGCAATTTGTGAAGACCTATCCAGAAGTAAGCACTTAGACATTATCCTGATTACCTCACTTAACTGGGAATAACCTGCCGACCTTTCCATTTATTTTTTTTCAATTGCTGGTCTCACTTGCCCCCAATTTCTTTGTTATTTTTCTGTTTGTTCCCTCAATGGCTTTGTAAACAAGGCAAAGTGCAAATTTATGTGGTAAACCACTTGAAATCGAACATTTTTGCCATCAGAGGAGATGCCCTGAATGCAAAGCTTTGATTGTTGCTTAAAATGTATCTTGAACTGTATCTGTATCTCACTTTTTGCCCTCCCCATCACAATCCGAATCTGAATCCAAATCTGAATCCGAGCCCGCAACTGTTGTGCAAATGTAAATGTTGGCAAAGTGGCAAGTCAGGTGGTTGAATGTTACTCTCTTCCATTCCATTAGCCTCAAGTTAAAGCTTTCGGCTAAGCTGATGATTGTTAAAGTAGGAATTTGCATTTGAATTCGGGTCTAAGGATTCCAAAGTGTGTGAAAATGTTGTTTAATATTTATTCTGCTCGCCTTAATTCCTGTACCCAACCCGATTTGATATATTGAGCTGGCTATATATGGCTCCTTGTTATTGTCGGGGCGAAACGGGGTTAATTCGATTATCGTCAATCGGCGTGTGGTACTTCTTAATTGATTTGAGCAAACGCTGCAAACGAGATTAATTGATGAGTGGGGCAGACCAAAGCCCAAATGGGCAATGCCAAAGCCCCAATCTAAACGCACAATTCAAATTGGGTCTATGCCCATTCAGAGCTCCATCCTAAATTGTGTTGTCTTTTTTTGCTGCAGCAGGTTGTGTGCACTCAAAATAATAGAGAACAGTAGAGCGCAAATACGACAAAGGGACAAAACGCAAGCTGAAAACTGAAAACTGAATACTTGGGAGGAGGATTCAGGGATTCAAGGATCCTAGGATCCCAGGATCTCTGACTGCTGCAGCCTGTGTAATGGCAGCGTTTACTCAATTTTAGTACGTAGTAAACGTATTTCTTTTATGGCCCCGTAGGTTATTTGTGCATCGCTCTGACTCGCTGGCACGGTCTACTTTCTACATTCCGGGATGCCAGCGTACTCAGACAAACAATTCAGAAAAGATATATATCCCTGACACAATAAACGAAGTTCGTTTCCTGAGTGGCCATTTTACTGCGAGGCCTTTCAGTTGGAGTGCCCCCTATATCATCCCATCCAGCCATCTAGCCATCCAGCTACTCAACCCCTATCTTGGGGCCAGAACTAAGCAAATATTCGCACACAAATATGATGAAGTATCGGGGGAATGGGCGTTTGGATGTTTGTATTCCTGCTTCTGGTTTGCTTTTAATTGCTTTCAAGTAAACAGAATGCCCCTTGGTAAATGGGAACATAAATATAATTGCCAGGTTGGCTCGCATTGCTTTAAAATTTCCACTCTCGAGGCCATATGTGCCAGAGTCAAACATTTGCCTGTCCAGCTTTGCTTCCTTGGAAATTCTGGGTTGTTCTATTTGGCTCTGTTTGGCACTGCCGAAGGTGTTGTTTAATTTAATTCCATGATTTGACAGATTACATATTTGCCACTCTGATTATTGTGGTCGCTGCTGTTGCTGGGCCTTTGATTTGACCATTAAACTGGTTAACACAATTAACCGGAAACTAAACTAAGCAGAATTAAATAGGACAAACATGTATCAAAGAGAAAATACTATAATTGTGGTTTATGACTTTGATTAATAATTCTATTTTTATCCACCAATAAATATAACTATATACGAAGTTGAGGTTAGTTTCGTATGAGTAAACATATTATTGTAAGCATTTAAATCACTGCATTTTATTTTTAGAATTAATGTGTATTGGTGGCATGATTAGTGGATATTACTTATAGTTCTCCTAAAATGCAAATGCTTAGAATTTCGTTTTACTATTTGTTACCACCAATTTAACCAAAACATAAATGGATAAGAAGTAGAGGTTAGCTTCCATTGAATAAACATTTAAACCACTGCATTATATAAGATAAATTAAAATGTATTTGTGGTATTATTATGTGCATATAATGCAAATCACTTATGTTGCATTGTGTTATTTACATAGCTGCCAACCCGCAGTGTGAATGATTTTTTTGCATAGCAAGTTTTTTTTGTGGAATCGACTTTTATAGGGGGTTGGGTTGGTCAAGTGCCAGCTGCATTAGGCCATAAATTTGCCAAAAAGTAAACAGTAAACATTTTATTGTTGCTCTTCGCCGCCCCGAACCCGCCAGCCATCCGACTGTTTTAAATAATTATTTAACATTTTACATTGTTTAGCTCGCGTTTTCCGTGTCGAAATGCGGGTGTGCCCGATGCAGAGGGGCGGCCTTTGTTTGTTGTAAAGATTTGCACGATTTGCATTTGTGCCAAAACGATTCATGAATGATTCATGTGCGCCAGACCAGAAGCAGATGTCGACAATACTCATCCCACTTCGATTTATGCATCGGGCACGTGCCAACTGTTTGGCGGCGATGACGGTGGAGCTTTAAAAGGATTCCGAATGTCGGCAAAGAGGTAGCAGGATGTGAAATTTTTAAATCAATTTAAAGGGACTGGATTTATAATTTAAATCGCGAATGTTCAAACATACATTTCGGAAAACACCATATACAAAGTAGGTTTTCTTTAAACTTTATCTTTGTGTCAGCAGTCACTACAGTCAGTAGCTTTTTCTCTCACTAGTCACATAACTAATACCCATAAAACATTGAGAAAATGCCGGTGAGCTTCATATATTTTATTTTTATTCACATTAACTTATTTTTTATAACCAGTTAATAGCCAAACAGTCCTTGAAGAAATGGGAAGAGGGAAAGGTTCGGTTACAACAGAAACCATCTTGTAAAGTAAGACATGGCCTCCGTCGGAGGTCTTCCCTCATAATCGTAAGTCAGAAGATGAAGAAGGGTCGGAAAAATAAGCCAATCGAGGAGGACAAAACGACATGGTTGAGTGCCAATGGTCAGACTATAGCCGTTGAGAAGAAACACATCGTGAATTTTGGAATGGATATGAACAATTTTTTTAAAACAAAGGCATGCGAAAGTGATCAATGTCCTGAAGATAGAAGCTCATTGGAAACCATAGCTTCGGATATGATGAATGTATATGAGGTTCAGCCTACTACACCTAATCTAGGCAAAGAGAAATCCCCCATGAAAAGGATAAACAAATTTAACCTTCTCATGAATCCAAAACTTGTAAATCCCATTGGCAAACGCGTTTTGGAGATTGCCAAGAACTCTCCACGACAACGCAAAGAATATTATAAAGGGAGGGTTGAGAAGCACAATTGCGGAAAAAAGTCAAACAAATCTTGTCTTAAAACCACAAAAAAATCTTTTACAAAAAAGCTAGCTGCAAAGCGAGAATATGATGATGTTACTCTATGTGAATCCGAAAACGTGACACCTAGAAATGATATCACCTCTGATCCAGAAAATAATGAGATGGACTGCATGGCAGATGGGTTAAGCTCAGAAAATGAATCGGCGAATTCTTTGTCAGACGAAGCTTATTTTCAAGAGAAAGAGAAGATCACCTTAGATGACTTCATCTTAGACTATGAGTATAGATATAACTTTAGCTTAAATTTGGGAAGTGAAGGATCCATTTCATCGGAAGAAGAAACCATTCCAGAAAATAATGAGATGGACTGCATGGCGAATGGGTTAAGCTCAGAAAATGATTCGGCGAATTCATTGTCAGAGGAAGCTTATTTTCAAGAGAAAGAGATCACCTTAGATGACTTCATCTTAGACTATGACTATAGATATAACTTTAGCTTAAATTTGGGAAACGAAGGATCCATTTCATCGGAAGAAGAAACCATTCCATCGGTAGGAGAAACCAAGCCGAAAGATTTTGTTTCAGAAAATGAAGAGGAAGAAATAAAGGAAATACCGAACTGCACTTCGCCCGGGAAAGGGTTGGAAAGGCCGAATGAGACCCCAATTAAGGAAAATTCTAAGCCCCCCTCAGATATTAAACTCAAAGCTAAAGTCAATACTAATCGCCAACCGTTGGGACGCCCTGGTAATGTAGCCGTTGTAAATCCTACTGTAGCTCAACGTAAACCTCGTGTGATGCGACCAGGACAGAGGTTAGTTACTCCTGTTTCCAGTGACAATGGAGATGGTGATGTTTATCCCACACTCCAGTGGGTCATTGACCCGCCAACAGGCGATCCCGCTACTTCTTGTGAAGTGCACTTACATGACTTCATTTATCCAACGCCCTCTTATTTCAGAAGACTCACGAGGGATTTATTGGACGCCTCGATGGAAGATGAATTAAGTCGAAAAAAGAAAAAACATAATACGCGGAAAAGCAGGTTTTGCCGCCAGAGGGTACTTGAAAAGCTTAATATTCCCAGAGAAAGAAAACCGTTTCCTTCGACATTGACAACGTACCTAATTAACATTTGTTTTTCAATACTTTTCACGGCTCTTTTGTTTTACGTATATTATAAGACTTATATTGGGCGACCTGTACCTCGGACGCTTTGGCAGAACGTTTTGCTTACTTTTGGAATAACCAGATAAATGTTTTCCAAATTTATAAGTGTGAAAATTAAAAAAAAAATCATATATGCATTGGCTTGAAGACTGTTTATATTTTTGAATTTAATTTCAGTAAATTGACCTTTAAAGTGCGGAAATTATTATGTTTTGAGGATATTCTGAACACAAAATGGAGCTGGCTGACAGCAAATAGTTGCTCATATCATTTCTCATTTATCAAATGAGGTTCGAAAACCTTTTGTGGCCTCGTCATGGAATGCAAGTGTCTCAGAAACAAGTCATTTAAATATTTAGTACCCAGTCGATTACCCCTGCCTACTCCTTTCCTAAAATACCCGATTTGAGATGAAGATGGAGATGGCAGGAACAACAGCCTGCCTGACAGGCAATCGCGCCAGTGAACGTTAGCAAATGCAAATTTAATGGTCTATGAAAAAGGTAGCCGGGCAAATGCTTTTAACCACATCCGCTGCTATTAGTTCACCGTCGGAACCGAAAGAACCGTCGGATCCGTCGGAAAACCGTTGCTAAACAACAAGAGCGACGGATAACAATGGAAAATGACGCCAGTGGAAATGCGAAAATCAATGCGCATTAGTGGATGGTGTTGTTTCATCTTAGTCTGCTGGAGAATTGGCAATATCCCCAGTTAACCCTCGCTTAAATTTTACATTAGGCAAGTGGATGTACGAATCAAAGACCACCGCATAAGCTAGCAGTCGATTGAACATTGAAATCTGAATATCTGGTGTCGCTAACTTTTACAATTAGAGAGCTCATTTCATTTGAAATAAAATGTATAGGGATTTTTATGATGAGTACTAATCAAAAGTTTAATTTTTATAAAATGTAGTTCCCCTCATTCAGAAACAAAAATTTTCAGGGAACTCTTAAAACTCTTTGAAAACGTTGGCTTGGGAATCTGTAAAATTATTTGAAATCAAACTGAACGATGAACATTTTTTTAATTGTGTGACTGAATTAGAATTGCATTTCGATTTTTAAAATATTTTTTTAAGTTATTCTTTTTGTAACATCATCAGAGTGCTAGGACAAAATAGGATAGGTATATAGATGCTATGTATTTTTTGGATCTTCGATAGCAAACGCGTTGCTGTCAACCACTTTTCGAGTAATACCTTCAAAGCTAAGCCTTCGGAAAGGATTTGTTCAGCGCGTAGACCTCAAAGAATGCACATAGATGTGTTTATAACCGACATTTACGGTAATTGTTCTGCTTATTCCCGCACAGATCGCCGAACTGACAACTGCCAACGACCGCAGTCAAATATGAGCAATGGCCCGGATCGCATGGGATTGGATCTCACGCCCCTAAAAACAAATGCTGACTGGGCGGAGGACCCTCGTTCGTCAAATGCAATCCGCAGGGGGATTTGGGTGTGCGAGTGTGGGGCTTTTTCTTTTGGCATTTCCTGCCGTGTCCTGCCACTCGTGCATGCAATCCAAAACACATAGATACAAGCACTCACACACTCACAGCGGCCAGGACAACCACACACGCACACACAAGCAATGCATTCAAGCGCAAATTAAGCTTGACAAGCAAAAATTAAACTGTATATATGTGTATCTGTGTGGCAGGGTGTATTCCTGGTACTCGTATCTGGCAGATACATTCGGTTCTCGATGTGTGTTGTTCGCTTCTCCATGCTTGTTGGGCAAAATATAATTTCTTCATGTTCAGTTCATTAAACAGAGCAAACCAACTTGGAAAAGCACTTACCATGAATAGATTTTAAGGGGCCCCGACTGCGATACAGTTGACGGAAAGCCAGCACAGGCGACACAAATAGAAAATAGGAATGGCAATAGCAATAGAAATAGAAATAGCAATGGTCCCCCATTTCAAATAAATATGCAAATCGCAAAATGGAACGGGACAAATGAATTTGAAATATCACTGCACTCCTTAATGAACTATTTGTGTTTGTCTGCTTTGCTTTTATTTGTTTTATTCGAAGATGCCGAATTGCTTGCTTTTCAAGTAGATTACGTTTTCCATTTATTTGTTAAAAACAATAAAAGCTTCAAAAATATCCATCTTGTATCTGTTTTTCAGTCTAAAAATTGTTTCAATAGAATTTATTGTCTATTAATATTTTATTGAAGGTACCTACAAATAAATGAATTACTGTATTAAACTTGTATTAATGTGATGCACAGTAATTTGAAATAAAATAATTTGTTTTAATATCTAATTATCTATATAATTCTAACTGTTATGTAATAATCCTTGGTCAATAACCTTAATATAAACCATAAATAATTCTTTCATTAAAAGAGTACATCTATAGATATTCTGCAGGCATCTTTGCCGAGTTCAAGCAAGCACACTTGTATCCCTAAGATATTAGTAATAAAGAACGCAATGAGTTATAGTTTCTCTGACTAGAAAATGGCCCATTGGGTAAGAATGCAGATAAATCGTTGCCCAAATAAACTGAAAACAAAGCAGGCATAAATTCATCATGCCAGAGAAAAGGCTCTGCAGTGGGATGTTATCTTCGATATTACTTTTCGGTTGGCCGAGGAAATGACGAGGCATAAGCCATTGTACCAAGTTAGTGGCGTCAAATCACTTAAACGCCACCCAAACAAAGCCCAAATCTGCGGCAAAAAAATCTCAAAAACCGATTGGCATGGCCGAAAGCAATTCCCCACGATGACAGCCACAAAATGATGAACTCTGTTTTTGAGGTCGGTTGTCAAATCAGGGACCGCCGTATACATATATATTTGTGTTTCTTATTTTAGCAATTTGATACTGAGCCGCATTAACTTTGACATTCGCATGATTATGGCTCTTGAGAGTTTTCTCCGCCTTTTCCCCGGCTGTCCATGACTTTTGCACTTTGGCGAAGTTGATGAAATTAATATTAGGCAGAAGTTGCAAGCTCATTCGATGCCTCCTTATCGGTGGCAAGCTATTGATAGGCAAACTCCATGCTGAGTGCATGACTGAGGCCGTACAAATGGCCGATGACGTGGGATGGTTATTTATGGTTTCCCCTCGGTGAGTGGCTAAGTAAAAATAATAATGAGGATAAGTATACTCAATAAAGTTATATAATATAAACTTGTACCTAAGCAACAGTCAGGATAAATGTATAAATGTATAAATGTAAAATAAATATAGCCATCATTTTGGGGTATTTGATAAAATGTTGATAAAAACCAAAGAGCCTGTATTCTTCGATATCTTTTCCGTTCACCTCATTTCCAAATATACGCCTGAATCTGAATCGCATTGGCCTGATTCCACCAAGGCAAACATAAAAATTCTCATCTGGTAATATGCCTCGGTAAATACTCACTAGACAAATGCTATCTATATGCAATCAGCAAATATGTGCTCAAAGGACCTCGGCTCCAGCGGTACAAAGCCCATAACGAAGGCATCTCATCTATACCATCCATACCATCCATCCCATCTTTTCAATGCATTATGCAGGCACTTTTGCAGGCAAGTGGAAATTATGTCAAAACAAAACGTGCAAGTCAAGTCACTCGTTAGTCTGAGAGGCATTTCAATTAAAGGCTCGCAATGTGCAAGATGGCGAGGGAACGGAACACATCCAGAAAAATACACATAAATGAGAGCTCGCAGCACAAAAGTTCAACTAATACGATATGCAACGACAGAGGAGTGAAATGTTCAGTTGGGCGGACCAAAGAGTTGGGAGGGGTGCAGAACCCGCTTCAAAGACCTCTGAGCTGCTATTTATCAGAAACTCGCAATCTGCGAATCTCAACGCTGAACGATCGCTCTTTAATTAACCAAATAGGTTGGCTTTGATGGGCATTTGGTTCAAGGAAAACTAAGGGTAAGGAGTATTTATAAAGATGCGTATCTTATATATCTTCTCATTGGTATTAAAAATATTTATTTTAACACTACAAGAAAATATTAGTGTAAAAAGTATAAGATCAGTATGATATATAATTTAAAACAATTTATTCAACACTTGATATAATTATCATAAATCTCAAAGTGCAATTATCTATCGATACCTAAAAATCTTAGAATTTTAACTAATCCGAAAGGGTATTTTTGTATTTAGGTGAGTATATTTTTAACTATAGGGCATGTGCATTCGCTACGATTTACTTGCGAATTCCGCAGAATCCTCGACTCGCTCTGCATTCGAATTTCTTTCTTTCAGTTTTTCTGCGCATATGTCTGGGCAGCATTTGTAAGGATTTAGCATGTCTTCCTTTCTTTTCCGATGTGGGTGTGTGTGTGCTTTGCGAGTCGACTTCATTCATTCAAAAAAAGTTAATTCATAAATCGCACAAAGCGCGCTGATACGAAAGACGCACACATGGCAACCCTTATTGCTCAGAACCCCCATGCAAAATGCATTTCACCCCCTGTCTCCTGTTCAAATAAAAGATTTCTATCAGGTGGCTCTTATGGCGCATAAAAGTACTTAAATTTGTTTGACTTTTGGACAGATCTGGGCGGTTAGGATGGTATGGTATGATATGAGCTGGGAGGGGGCGTGGTCGCTCGCTTGTTTCGACTCGTTATGCGAAATTTCTAAGGCAACTCACGACCCTCGCAAGTTGTTTAATTTTTCACCCATCGCCGAGCACGGCAATAGAAACGTTTTATTTGCGAATGCGTTTAGCGAGATTGCTGTGCTGCGATATGGGATATGGTTACTAAATCAGAAATGTATATATGCGGAAATCTCTGCGACTTTATCGAGGGTTGCCACAGGGACATTTAGCTATTAGCGGGTTTTGGGTAACCTCAATCTGAAGTGGAAAATCTGTGACTGAATGGCACTTCTTTTCGTAAAAAAATATTTTTAGCTCTTGCTTACTAATAATTCTTTGTAATTTATGGTAGCGTATAAAATGTAATTGATTGTTTAATTTTTCAAGAAATATACAATTTAATATTTGTTCTCTTTTGTGGTGTTCTATTTCTCCCATTATAACTATGCAAAAAAGATTCGTAAGCCATGATGTATTTAAGTTTCACAGAAATGTAAAGTTAGTTCAAAAATGAACGAAGAAGATCGAAAAATATATGAAACGGTAGAGAAGGAATCGCAAGAGCACATGTGGCTTTTGTGCAACTTGGAACATTAAGTGCACCTGGAGCCAAACATTACGATTGACCCACGTTGACCCCACCTGCCGGCAGTCAGCCATGAAATTGAACGCCTCCTCGGCGGCATTTTCAATCAGTGGGCGCGGCCAAAAGGGCTGTGGCTAAACACCCGTGAAATGGTGACAAAACCCGCCTCAACTCCGCCGAATGCACTCGGCTCATGGAGCACATGTGACTTTATCAAGTTCCGTAAACTGCTTATTCTCACCACTTCAGAGGCATCTCAAGTGCCACCGATTGGAAAGGGGGGATTTTTAGAAGAGCTTTAAGGGGGCTGATGGGTGGTGGGCGGTGGGCGGTGGGCGGGGTGAAGTGACGCATCGGCAACAACAACGACACTTCAAGCAGACAACAAAATGGCGCAAACGCTTCCTTTTGTTGGGCGCAAAACTTAAGGCTTAAGCCTTTCTGGAGAGCCCGATGCCTGAGGAGGCAGTACGTGATTTTATCAAAGGGAAAGCGAAATGGGGCCCTGAGCCACCCACTGAACCACCCACCGCGAGCACCACCGCACCCCCACAACCCCACCCCCTTCGGCGCCCCTGGGCTGCGTCAAAATATGCCGCAATCAAGCTGCAAAACATTTTCATTTATATTTAAATACAAAAAACGCAGAAGAAAAGGCAGCAGCAGCAGCAGGGGATTCGGGAATATGGA